TTCGCATTCCTTTTTTTTTTTGATGCTTTATTTTTTGTTCGCCTGTTTCTGGTATAAATTTCATTTTTGGTATGTTTAGAACGGCCAGCGGCATATTTTATGTACAACTTCAACACTCCCAGCATGTGTGTGTGTTATCGCACTGCATTTATGTATGGCTATGTGTGCGTGGACGGATGCCTTCCACGTGGGTTACTTAATATACAAAGGCCTTTAATTTCGTCTAAAGCTAAATAAACTTTATACCCTTTGGTATCTGCCACACATCTACATCTGTATCTATCCGCATGAGTGTGTGTGTGTGGGTGTGTGTGTATTACGTATACACCTGCGGTCATGCCGCCACCAAAGGACCTTCTCCATGTGTGTTTGATGTTTGGGCTGCGTTCTTTGGCGCTCCTATGTCTCTTTCTCTTTCTCTCACTCGCTCTCGCTGTTTTGACTGTGTCTGCCCCTGTTGCTGTTGTTGTTGCAATGTCCTTGGGCGCATATTTGCATGTTTTATTGTATCTGCTATTCCCCCAGTTTAGGCCACGCCCCCCTCCCATCCGAAAACCAGCGCCTAAGGACAATCCACCGCCCTCAGTACGCATGTACCTATGTTTTTAATTCTTTACATCGATATTTGGCCGCTGGCAAGTCAAAAACGCGAGCCGCTGCCAAAGGTTGATTGCGGCACCGAAAAGTGGGTGGTGAGTGTGGGTGACCAGGCGGTAAACCCCCTCCCCCCCCCCACTACCTTCACTCCCTTTTTGGCCAGGATAAAGCGGACAACAGCGCGTTGGAGGCAATTTTCATCAAAATATGCATGATATGTGCGTTACACCTTTTGTTATGCATTTGTTTTGATGTTGAAATCTAACCTTTGCTGCCGGCCATTCTCCACATTATTATTTGCACAATTTAAAGAGGTCAAAGGAGGGTGGCAAATTAAAGTCCAAAGTACTAAGGGCTAATTAAATGATCGTTGCATACTCTTAGGCGCAAGGGGGCGGGGAGGAACGTCCTTTTCTTTGGCAGCTCACATATTTACACGCTAGTTTCCCATTACCAGGATGTCTTGCAGTCGCAGTGCGATTTTTAATTTGCGTTATACGAGGAGTTTCCTTTTGCCTGGCCCGCGGCTCATATGTGGAAAGAAGTGGAGGGAGTGGGAAAAAGGACAGGCTTCGAGGATGAGAAACGGATAAAGAAGTGGCAGGTGGAGAAGAAAAAGAAGGAGAAGGAGGGGGAAAAGGAAGAAGAGGAGGAGGAGCAGCGTAGCGTGACATCGCAGGAGCAGCAAATGTCACGCTTCACTCATTTCCGTCCCATGATGTCGTCCGACGTCGTCGTCATCATCATCATCGTCCTCATCGTCCTCGCCGCCTGCTGATGAAGCTCAATGGTTAGTGGCAGTCAACCAGGAGTTTCCCGCTCCTTCCACCAAAGAAAACCACATGACAATATTGGTAGGTATGTAGGTTGCAGAGAAAAAAAAACATTTGTTTAAAGATGAAACTAGGCGATATGAAATGAATTAATTTCTTACTTATCACAAAAAAAAACATAAGCAAAATGAACAATTCAATTGTTCAAATAGGCCATTAAAATATTAGTTTAAGTACACAGAAAGATGTTTATTGTCCTAAAATATTGTAATTAATTAACATCTGTGTTTTCTTGTTTTGTATTTGTTGTTATTAATTTTAATATAATTTTATTGTATTTAGTCAAGTTGAAGTTAAATAAATTTTATAACTAATTAAACTCACAGTTTAAATTTTCTGGCTGCAGTGGGAATCGAACATAACCATTAGGATTCCAAAGAATGATTTTTAGCGTGGGGAATTTATGGACTAATGAACGTTTAAAAAAAGAAAGAAAGAAATTCGCTGCGGGTTTTTTACGTCATTTCAAAACCTGCAGATTACCAGCGACACTCTTTTCCAAGAGATCAGAATTCAACAATTGTCTATTCAGTATAAATCTTTTAAGACAACAAAATATATAAAAAAAAGAAATAAGAAGAATACTACGCATTAGTCAATATAAAAAAACCAAAGTTTATGTTGAATTTAAATGTATGTCCACCTAAGAGCTTTAAAATATATAAAAGTAGAATGAATCTGAGTGGTTCAGATACCCTAAGTGACCTCTCATTCTGATATATACAGAGCGGCGAAAAAATTAAATGCTGATTAAAGGCACTAAAAGAAATTTGGAAGCATTCACATCGCAGATTAAAGATGACCAAAAAAAACGATCAGCAGCCTGACCTAAACGCAAAAATCTTTATTTTTTTGCAAATTGACTTCAGCGATAAAGTTGCATAAATTTTGATTTTTAAATACTAAACAATGGTTTAAATATTTGATTTCTGTGCGTTTTACTTTAGGGTCTTATGTTTATGAAAAATACAAACATTTATATTAAGAAAACCACTATTCTTACGTTCTTACCTGTATAAGTGCTTCGGAGTTCTATCAGTACTTATTGATTCTTAGTAGACGATTTGCAATCGGACTTCCAGTGATATGTTTTAATGCAATAATACTCTCATTTAAATACCAGTTGAATCCATATTTAAAATCACTCTTTTTTCTCTGTGCATGAAGGTGGGTGAGGCGGGAAGTGGTGGGTGGATGGGTGGTTTAGTGGCACCCCTTCTTCGCCTCTGTCCTCGTTCTCGTTCCCGTTCTCGTTGTGGTTCTGGGTAGGAAAACCCCTCAGCCGGAAGCACTTGAGAACTTGCAATGGCCAGCGGGCATTTTGTGCGGTTTCGTGCGTCGTTGCCCCCGATCCCCGTTCCCCTTGTGCCGCCAACCCCCCTCCCCCCTGTTTTCCACGGCATCCTTGACGCCGAGTTCGCGAACTGAAAATTCCCTTCGTTTTCATTATGTTGCGGCCATGTTGTCCTTGCCTCGGCCTCGGCCTGGTCTCTCGGCCTGCTCCTGGCTCCTGCTCCTCCTGCTCCTCCCGCTGCTGCTCCTGCTCCTACTGCTGCTGCTCCTGCCGATTCCGCTGCGGTTGCTCCTCCATCATGGTTCTTTTCAGAGACCACGCCATCATTATTATGAACACCGTTCTGCCTGCCGGGCATATATTCCAATTTGTTGTTGTTGCCGCCGCTCTTATTCCTCCATCGCCAGCGGTACTCGCCTTTGTTGCTGCTCCTCTTGGTGTTCTTATATGACCGCCAAGTCTCTCGCTTTTCCCGCATACCCATCACTTTGGTCAGGGGTCAAAGGTATGCTGGAATCGGGGATGATATTGGAGCAGTTTATCTCATTAATTGAGTCACCTTAGGACTTTAAGTTTATAATATTTTTCTGTACATTTTGTTTATTTATGTATCTACTTTATAGGGAAAATTAAGATTTTTAAAATTTATTGAGGGGAAACACTCTATAGTATAAAAGAATTGGCTAAGGTAATTTAGGTACCTTTTCTTAAATAGTATTTAAGTTCGAAAAATGTTCATTCAGTTCATATTAGTCTCAATCTATTCCAATTAATAATGCAATACCTGAACTATTTGGCCTATACACATCTCCAAAAGAATATATTATGGTAATGAGCTTAAAAATAATTTTAAATTTTCTTTTTTTGTATTATATTATAGATTTGGGTTTCTAAATATAGTTCTGAGCTTAGCGACAATTGTTTTAAATGTATTCATATTCTAAGCCATAATTTTACTAAACATTGCTTAAATTTTCCTCTCAGTAGAGGTATCTTCAAGTCGAAATCAAATCAGATTCATATTATTTCACTTGTTCCCTTATTTTCGTTTATTTTGCAACATTTTGTGGCATTGCGCTCGCGTTGACAAAAGTCTTGATGCCTGCGCTTCGTGTGCTATTTATGAGTAATAAGAGAAGATGACTGCCGGGGTCTTGGCAGTTCACTTACCTGTTGTGACTGCTGAAGATTGGCCGTTGCTGTTGCAATGCATTGCATTGCGATTGCTAATAAATTCTAGATTTGGAAGGCAAACTGCATATGCAAATAAATAGTTGGGCCAACTAACTGGCCGTGGACGCCTGCGAGCACTGCAAAGATGCAACAACAGCAATAATAACAATAATCGTGCCACATTTAGATAGCGCACACAGAGAAAAACGCTTATAGCCAATTGAAGAGTTTAAACATTGGGCCAAGTATGAAATTTGTTAGCCAATCTCCCTCTTTCCCTCCCTCTTTCCCTCTCGCTCTTACCCGAAAATGTTAAGTTGCCGCCGCCGCAGTCGGCTGCTTATCTCTGCTTGCAACATTTGCTGGGGGGCATTTTTACTTTTTGGGTTTTCGATACGAGAGCCGCTCCCCCGCCCCCCACCTGCCCCGCCCCTTCTTTTTGGGAGGACCAAGAGGACCACGAGCTGCTGCCCAAATGCAGTTGGCCTTCTGGGCGTGTGGGAGCGTGTGGGAGCCAGGTATGCGAACGTGAGTGGCTTAAGCCTCTCACAAGAAAAAAAAAAAGTATCGCCAGTGAAATTTTATAGTAAATCCAAAACTAATCTCAGCATGGAGAATTCAAAAAATATATTTCAGTGGGTTCTGCCAAAATTGATTAAAATACGTCCAGATTTTCTCATAGGCTTGGGGATTTTTGACTGTTAAGTGTGAATTTTATGAGGAAAGTTTAGTGGTTTGTTTTTGGGAATTCTACTATAAAACATCGTGTTTGATTTCTAAAAAACTACAAAATACCATCAGTATTTTTCATTATATGTTGAATATGTTTCCCTCTCTAGCAACCACATATAATTCTTATGGAGTTTTGACCGCTAATGCAAATTCTGGAACTAAAATCTGGGATCTACTTGTTTTGTATATGTTTTTAAAATGGGTCCTGTTTGAATTTAGTGGGAAAACTGATATTCAAGGGAAAAACGTTGTTGGTCCAAATTGTTTAAGGGGAATGCCGTAATTTTCAAACAAATACAACATATACGTTGACTCATCGAGACCCGGTAATTCCATATTTTTTGATCAATTAATTTAAGCAAAGATATAACTTCAACTTTAAAATAACACCTTTATTATAAGAGGTCTCTCATAAGAAAATTAATTTAATAACTTCTTGTTAACACCTGTAGTTTGTATTATCCATTTCATATAGCGCCTAACATTTGTGTAAATACCGAGTCCACTGCAGAATGAAGAACCGAAGCTGACGATGCCGAACTGGAAAGTCCGCGTTCTATTTTCATACGTTAGTTGTGCGGTCAAAGGACCACCCGAATCGCCATTGCATGTGTCACTGGTATTACTGCCAACACATAGTTGACTTCTCATAAGAGTTATGGAAAATCTTCGATTGCAATATTTACGATGGATATTTTCTAGAGTGGTTGTCTGTAGTATAGAGCTGGATTCGCTGGAATGTGTTCTACCCCAGCCAGTGGCATTGAATAATCGAAGGTTTTGTCCCAGTTGAAAATCGTCGGACAGACAAATTGGACGGATATAATCTACGAAAAAAAATGTGTTTTAGATCGGTAGTCCTTGTTAGTTTTACAATTAAATTACCTGAGAATACCACCGTTGTGGCTAATTGAAGCAGTGCTATGTCATGTGCATTTTGATTTGTATTACCAAAGTTATGGTGGATAATTTTCTTATCGATGTCAATGACATTACGGCTTGATGAGCATTTCTCACTCGTGCAATCTCTTTCGTATTCGCCCAATATCACCTGCCTGTAAAAAAAAAAAAAAAATTTACAAATCTATGAAAAAATAAAACCAGCTTGTGCACTTACATAGGCGAGTTGGTGACGCAAGTGGCTGCCGTCATAACAAAACCTTTAAAAAAATAATGAGAATAATTTAAAATTAATCAAAGTATTTAATTAAAATACTTACGTGAGGTAATTAGAGAACCGCTACAGATAAAACTGCCTTTATTAAGCACCAGAGCCATCCATGGATTTGAATATCTTTCGGCATTTTCGCCATTAACTAACCGCCGAAATCTCGAGGGGCTCCTAGTTGTCCCACAGTCCTCCTCCACCAAGGCTCCTGATCCTTCGTTTGCCAGGAGAAATAGGCAGGCCACTAGCACGGTTCCCGTTGTGAAGACCTTCATGGTGCTGCAAAGTCTAAGTAATTCATTCGCATTGCTCTGAATTTATATGAACACTTTATATTTGATAAGAATTGCGGGTTTTTTCAGATTGTATACATAAATACCTTCTTATTATTATTTCTCTTAAATGTTTGGAACGCAGGAAAGGAGACATTTCCGACCCCATTAAGTATATATATATACTTGATCAGCATCTCGAGGAGTGCTAATCTAGCCACGTCTGTCTGTTTCATTTATAAACATATACTTATAAAAATCGAAATATATATATTTTTTATTTTTGTAGCTGGAAGAGTATATTTACTTCGACTTGTTTGTTTTTTTTTTGTATGATTCATGCTTTTGGGTATTTTAAAATTATGATTACAAATTGACTTAGAAATTTAGAAATTTTTTATTAGAAATCCACTATTTACATATTAATTACGCATTACATTAATACGCATCTAAAAATTTCATCAGAGTTTATTTATAAATTCTTAGACTTGTGCTTATGATAATTTAAAAGTAGGTATTTTTTTTGTCAATACATACGATTTCTTTGCTATTAACTAGATTATTATTAAGTTTTTATAAAATAGCATATTTCCGTATAAAAGGAGTACACACCATTATCATTATTAGCATTTGCTTGATAACAGTATAGCTTTGACAATTTTGCGACAACATTTTATATCGTTTCTTTGACAGCTAGATGATATGTTGTTTGATTTTAAAATACTACAATATTTTGAAATTTTAATAAGGAAACATATCTTAAGTATAATATATGTAGACTTGGCTAGTTCTCATCGCCTGATAATGCTGATTAAAAGTATTTACATTTTAGGTTATCTTTCGCTGTGTTTCAAAAGTAGACTGATAGCCTCAGCAAAGGCTATACAAAAAATCATCACGTGAGTTGTTTTCCTATACCGCTGATAGTAAAAAGTAAATATTTCCTTAGTTGGCCTTTAAGCAATTAAATGAAATCATGTGGCAAATTTACTATTTATCCTATCCTTCATTGTTTTTAAAATTAACTGCTGACGTATTACTTTTTTATTGGTTATGTTAATGTCATAATGAAATTTCAAAAATTGCGGAAAATCAGCTAGACAATGCCCTGTTATCAGAAGCAATTTATAGATCGTAAATTGTTAAATATTTTAGAATGTTTTTTCATTTTTATATAGAGATATTTTAAATTCGTCAAAATATTCTTTGCAACGCCATAATGTCTTGCTCTTTTTTATGATGTTTCTTGCCTATATTTTTAATAATACAGATGGCTTTGTAGTATTATGTTTAAGAAATATGATAAATTTGGTTGCTTTAAATAAAACAACTTAATTTTTGACAGAAAAATGGTTTGTTAAATTTGCATGCCATTTGGTTTTAACAGGGTTATGTTCGTGTCACGTTACTACCACTTCTGGCGTGTGTTAAGTTGGCCGTAAATACTTTTGGCCTCGCCTGGTGTTTGGCATTTGGTGTCTGCTGTCTGCTGTCTGCTCTTGCTGCCCAAGTGCCTGGATACTTGGATACTCGGATGCTGGGATACTCGGAGGCTGGGATGCTCGGATACTTGGGTGCCCTGGTGTCTTACCGTTCCCCGCTTTTTGGCATCTGCTCTTTAGCCCTAAGCTGGGATTCGGTCGCTCGTTGGTTCGGTTGTTCGTTGCTTTATGAAATATTTGTGCTGCAACTTTATTTACAATTTTTTCGGTTATTTATTGTTGGCAATTTATGCTTTCGTTATGCATTTTTCGTTTCTTGTATTTGGTCAGTTCTTGCATTCTGATTTATTGGTATTGGTGTGTGCGTTTGTGGGCGTATATGGAGCCCTGTGTGCTTGTTTTGTCCATATTGCAATGAGCCCACACACGCACACCCCACACACAAACGTATGTATTCGAAAATCCAAGTTGTGAAAGAAATTTTTGGCAATGTTTCTAGAAATTCGAGTACAATTGCATATTTCTTTTAATTGCTGGCAAGGTTGCAATTAGTTGTTGCATATGAGAACAGGGCATATCAGTAGCGTAATTTTCGGAAGGGTCTTATAAAGATCTTTTTCCTTTTAAATGGTATGACCAATTTAAAAAATAGTTTCTATCAAATTGAAAAACAGTTTTCAATCTAAAAAACAAAGTTTTTCAGTGACAAACAAGACTAAAATGTGACCATAAAATGTTAAACGGAAGTCAAGAAATAAAAATGGTAGTATTTTTAATATATTACTAAAATATTGTTTAATACTTTATACATAATCCTATCCTTTTTTTTAAGTAAGCCCCTGTTCAAATGGATGCGATTTCTCTTAGTACCCAGGACTTATTTATTTTTCATTTTCAATATTCATGCTGTCTGCTAAATTTTCGGGCAATTGTTTCTGGCATTGTTCATTCGGCTTCTTGTTTCGCCATGGACAAGCTGCAATCAAAATCAAGGCTCTGAAAAGATATTTCCCCAAATTGAACATGACACATTTGTTCCGGCCTAGCTGCGCCTAATGAAGGTTTTCAATCACAGTGTTTTTGGTGAGGATGAGTGGAGATACGATTCGGCCAAGTGCCAGTGGAACGCAAGTTAAATGGCAATCCCGCAGAGAAACGAAACCCTTTTCATCAATTCCTGCCTTGCACTGTAATTAAAGTACCGAAAAGAACCGAATAACAAGTCATTCAAGTGAAACTCTTAAAATTCCCACTTGATTGAGCTGCACGCTTGTATTTGTCAGCATCAGATGCAAATATTGATAGTCGCATCTGCGTGTGTATGCAGATTTGAGTGCCATTTGTGCTGTGATTTTATGACTTTTATTCTCTCCGCTGGCCACATAAATTTCGTACTGTTTTTCTTATTTTTTGTTGTGATTATTTCGACAGTCATCATATATCAATGCACTTGCAATTGATAATAGAGTGCCGTGCAACGCAATGTCAATACGGCTGGGTATATTAAAAATCAAAATCTGGCCGCCGGCCAAACATTTGATCTGACATTTGTTGTTTTCTTGTCTTTTGTCTTATTTATGTTTATTTACTTAATGCCAAGTTATCGTATTTAAATCAAATATTTGACTAAAATATTATTTCTCATAATAAGAAAAACTGTTGAGCGCCTTGAGCTCAATATTTTTGCGTGTGTGCGTTTTGTGGAATTTATATGGAAAATAATCAAGTTATCGCTCGCTAAAGTTGCCTTCCGTTGTCAGTCAATCTGCGTTTAAAATGACCCCCTGACCACCGATGGCAACTGCAATCAAAATTGCAAATACAATAATATGAAAAGCACAATGAAATAAATGGAAATACCTCAAGCTATGTAAATGGGCCAGTTCCAGTGACTGGGCACCGGTGTCCTGGACACGCACCCGGTGACCCCCACAGCCATGCCCACATACACACCCGGGCCACACCGCCCGCCCCCCGCACACTCCCAAATCATGCAGGCTAAAAAGAGAAAAGGTTGCCGACCTCCTCTTTTTTGGCTTTTGCTGCACTCTTGGCCAGGGTGTTTAAGTCCTAACGCAATCAAAAATTTAACAAAATAAGAAAAATAGTTTATTTTCCATATTATAGAAAGGGTTTCCTTGGCGAACATATCCCTATTTGGTTTATTCTTTCAAAATTGGTTTTACCTTAAAATATATTTAAGGCTTTGTTTTTAATTTTAACAGATACTACAATTATATTTGTTAAATTTTTGTCCGGATTAAAATCAATTGCAATTTTAAGATTTGGCCAGAAAGAATTCGAATTATAAGACTCATCTTTAAACATATCTAGATATCTTGTTGGGTGCAACATACTACATTGTGCAACATAGAAACATAACAACCTACAAAATATAATAAGAGCTGTTTAAAAATCATACGTATTTATTTAAATGCTCAATGTTCTCATCTAGAAATACAGCAATAATAATAATATAAGTATATTTCCAAAGCTTATTTTATTCCCTGTTCTGGGAAATTTCCAGGGTATTTCCCCATCTTTACTGACTCTGTGGAAATCCAAGTTCCTTTTTATTTTTTTTGGTGTTGCTGATGGGGGTCTGAATGCTTTTGCTGTTGTTGGTGGGACGGCCTCGTAATCAGCATTTGTGGCGCTCGAGGTCATCTGCAAAACCTGCAGGCGTTGTCGGAGTCGCCGTTGCCGTCTTCGTTGTTGTTGTTGTTGGTGTTGCCGTTGTCGTTGTCGTGTTGCAGCAACAACAACGAGAGTTCCGTATGACGCCGCTTCATCTTCCTGTTTTTGGCCGCGGGCAAAGTTCTGGGTTGGCTGGAATATTATAATTACAAGCGAAACAGGCCCCAGAGCTCTGCTCTCCTCTGTTTCGGCCCAGCCATCAGCTTTGGCTTTGGCTTGGGCTTCGACTGAAGCTGTGGCTGCGTCAGTGCACTGCGCCAAATTACACGATCTATGTTCGAAAATAGAGTTTTTGATTTAAAAAATTAATTTAAAAAAAAAAAATTTTACATGAAGCCTTAAAAAAAGGTGCTTAAATATTGCATTTTTTGAAAACTGAAATGGTTTTTAATTTTATGGATTTAAATTTTTTTTTAATTTTAAAAATTAAGCCATTAAGAAAGGTGCTTAAATATTGCATATTTTGGAAACTCAAATGGTTTTTATTTAAATGAATTTAAATTTTTTGAAATTGTAAGAAAAACCCCATATGAACTTGTCTCATTACTTTCCGTGAAAGAGAAATAAACTATAAGGATAACTGATTTATATTTAAATGCATTCTGGTCAGACAATTTTTTAAAAATATATCTTTTAAAGTTTCACATGTTATTGGTGACATCTAAAAAACCTTTCAGATAGAATGTGATCCTACAAAAGATATATTTTAAAAATATTATCAGGCCAGTGTGCATTTAAATACATTTTGTCTCAGTATTTACCTGTATCTGAGGCTTTTGTAGCCATGACGATAGCGAGTGGGAGTGAAAGGGGAAGGGGATCCTGATACCCAAATGAAGTCGATCCAGCGCCAAAGGTGTCCGCGCTGACGTTGTGACAGTTTCAGTTACCGTCTGTCTGAAGGTGCAAGAGGGGCAGCGAGGGGAGGGGAGGAGAAGGGGGCGTGTGTGTTGCAACGAGTGTAAGCCGGTTGCATGTGCCCATGTCGTACAGCTGTTGCCACTGCCACAGCTTGTTGACTGACTGATGCGTCCGAAATGCCACAGATGAAGAGCTCTGAGTCAGGCTAAAACAACTTCATTTCGACTGAAGTTCGTGTGAAAATTATTGAGATACATTTCCCCCAGCAACGGACAAGCGGTCGAAAACGAAAAGCATCCCCCTCCCCAATCCCCCCAGGTGTCTGGGGGCCCTTCTACCGCTCCTCTAAGCGGCGGACATTGGCGATTATTTTGTCCACGACTGTGGAACAAATGAGCGTCGTAGTCGCACTGAGCCAGAGATGTTGCCCCAGGGAGATTTGCCGCATTGTTGCTTCAAAGAAGATAGGTTTCGGCCTGTATCTGTATCTGTTTCTGTGAGTGTTTCAAGGCAGGAAAAAAAGAGTTCCCACATTCCGTACATGTGAGAAAATCGCCCTCAGTTCAATTGGCATCTATTTTGGTGAAGACCTTCGAGCCAAGTTGTCTTATTTGCTCCAACTATATTAATAGGACCGCTAATGGTCGATGGCTTGGAAACAAAAACGGAAATGGGTCTATCTAATTAACATATCCAATCAAATTCAAATTAATCTAGAGCCTATTACTGCAACAGGGATTTTTAAATTAATGTGTTTGTGACGCATTTAAGTGCCAGTATGCGTAACTATTTCCGGGTTTACGTACTCGTATACCACAGTCTTGTCATGAATAAAACTAGTCAATGAGTTTCCAAAAACTCCCTTTCAAAATCATACTACTTAATTCCAAGAAATCACATATTTGGGAATGCCTAGCGTTATCTGAAAATACGTAAATTTGTTTACGGATGAATGAATGAATCATAATGAACCATAATATAGCAAAGTTGGGGAAAAAAAGTATGAATAGGAATTTCGAAGAAACGTATATTTTGGCGGGAATTCCAGACAAGTGGGAAATTCTTGTTATTTTTAATTTGCAATTCAAGTTTGGAAGTACTTCCCTGCTTGGTGTTTTTCTTCGCAGTCTTCCTCTGGAGGCGACTCGGATTTAGTTCTTGTCAGGCCAGTGGGCAGATTTCATATTCGGATAGCGAAAGAGGAGGACTAAAACCTGAGACTGAGAATAAGAAATAGGCCGCCGGGCATCCGCAAGATACTCTACTCCCCTTTCGTTTCGCAGATACTCGGCATTGTTTGTGTTGTGTTTACGTTGTAAATGGTTGTTGCAACTACCACTTCCCATCAGCCGCATTCAATGCTGATTTCTGGGCCTCAAACAAGTTCGATGTTGGCCGCTGTCGAGAAGTATCTGTGATTTACGAGCCAAAGACGCTTAGTCGCTCACAAAAATATTTTTAAATTACACAAATTGTGCCGTGCGGGATAAAGTTGGATGGGGAAATTCGTGCCCCAAAGGCTAGGGCCACGGATTAGTCGGCCTGGGGGCGTGACATTTATCCGATGTCAGATATATAGACTATATAGGCGGGGAGGGGGCGCTGGATTTGTTCGGCAGGTGGATAAAGAATGGCTATCTGCTGTTTTTTCACTCTGCCATTCCTTTGTGGACAATGGAATTTCAATTTGCGGTCGTTGGAATGTTTTCGCAACACGCGCTGGCAATTTAAATTTATGCATGAACATTTTCTAATACCACTTAGAATAACAGAAATAATTTATTATTTTTAACACTTTACAATTTCCGCGCGCTCTCTCATGTGTGGGTTTTTGGTTCTATTTTGGCAAAACAACAAAGCTTAATATTTGTTTTTCATTTGTTAGCCCGGCACCAGGTGAGACAGGTGGGAAATGAGGGGCGTGGCACCGCAATAGAGGCGTTGGAGCGCGAGTCCTATTCAACACTTTGGTGAGTACCACACACACACAAAAAAAAACCAAAAATATCCATTTATAAATATTTTACAATAAATATTTCGCCATGAAAATAGAACTGAATAACCGCGTGTGCCGTTTTATTATTGAAATGCAAAATGTTTGATTAAAACTACAATTTCTCTTGCCCATCAGAATATGGGGGCTCTTAATAGTCGCATCAGGTAGTAAAAACACTTCATCGGCAGTCCCGAGCTTTGAATCTTGGCCAGATACCTCCGTTCCTCGTTCAAATACTCACTTACATCGTAGCACAGGATATAGGCCAAGTAAACTATGGTAGCCAATAGGAATAGCAAGCTATAAATATGGTTGTCATCTGAAAAAGTGGTTTTGTTTTTGATTGATTCGATTTGACCTTTATATTCTTACCAATTAATTTCAGTACAAATTGTATCTGCTCTAAGGCCCAGGCTTTTAAAATTTCCCTAACGTTTACGTTTTCAAGAGTTTCCTTTCTATTCTTTCTGGTCAAAATATTGGGTTTGTCCTCTGCACTTATCATTTGTTTCCTAGTTGTACTACGCTCTGCTTTTTCGAGGATTGCCCTAAGGGTTTTCTTGGGGTTTTCGGAATACATGAATGGATCCTCCGCGGGTTCTACTAAATGTGGATGAACTTCTGCCTTATGAGTGTTATCCACCGTTTTTTGGAGTGTTTCCTGGATTTGGGGCTGTTTTGTGACTGTAATGACTGGTTCTGCACAGAGTGACGCATTGCTTTGTGGAATCTTACGACTCAACTAATGGGGGAAAACATAGCAATTTATTACAAAAGGGAATATTTTAAATCAGAGTAAATTTAATTTTTATTATTATATATATTTAATTAAAATAATTAGCTTACCTGACGAAAAGGCTTGAAGTTGAGTGGTGCGACTACTTTTCCGGCACACTCCTTCTTCTTTTTCTTGGACTGTAATGGCAACCAAAAGAAATATGATTTTGTTTACAAAAGAAATCTGTTAAATACTTGCCTTGGTCTTGACAATATCTTTTTTCCGTGATTCTCTCATAATAGGCACTGAGGGACTTCTTTCCCTGCAATTAACACCCAGCCCCTCATCGATTTTTTCAGATGTGATCCTTTCCATTTGATTACGGATATAGGCCCGTGCGTTTTTTTGGGCAATCTGATGGACCGATTCCTGGTCATTGGCCTGATGACAAGTCCTCCTGACTTCCCCCGAGCAGTCGCTTTCATAGCCATCTTGGTCCAACAGCTGAAGGGAGAGATTATAGAGATCCTTGTTCTGGGACATGGAACTGCGTTCCAAGAGGCTCGGCAAATCGGGAGTGGCTGTAAGGTGTCGATCCTCGATTCCACTCACGGAATCGGTGTTCATTAACCCGTTGGGTGAAACCGTTGTGTGACTGGCATAAACCGAGGTCATTCTGGTATAAAAGAGAATTTATTTGATAAAGAAATATAGAGATCATATACGACCTTTATACATTTATTTATAAATCGTAATCATCTTAAGATATTACCAATAACTTGTTAGTAACATCTTTAGCTGACTTTTAATTATGAGTAACATCTGAAGCTAAGTAGAATTTATTACTAAATTTATTAATAAAATATTACTAAAATATTATAATATATGGTAACATGATATATGGTAACATAAATAAGATAATACTAACATCTTATTAGTAATATCTTAAGCTGACTGCGATTTATTATTAATTATTATAATTACATTTATTAGTAATATTATATTAGTTCATAATTTTGTTTTGAATAACAATCATTATTACAATATATCATTAGCTAAAGAATCACGAGGTGGGTTTTGGGAAAACAACTCATTTTAGCTACTTACGATTCGGCCACAAACTTCTTACGACTGTACAACTCGACAAGGCGTTTGTCATAATCTCTGCGGTATTACAAATACGCAAATTAGTAAACCGAATAAACATTATTTGATGAGCTAAACTTACTGCTTTCTAGGGATGATATGTAGCCGTGGCATATTACTTTCCGATCACTGTCTATAATCTGTAAGTAGCGAGGGTTAAAATAAAGGTACACATGTAGCTAAAATGTAATTTGTGTTGGCAGAGAGTGGGTCGAATATGTTTTAGCCATAAATCCATTCGATTCTAGTGTCAAGGGCTGCTGTTCTGTCGATACCTGGGGGCACATTTCACACATTTTCGCATTAATATGCAATTAAAGCGGAATAGTTGCAACTAGTTGCAGTAGTTGCACTTGCGAGCTGTGGCTGTGTGAGTTGCGCAGGCGCATATCCTTGGGCGGCTCTCCACGACCCATCCTGGCGATCGCCCGAGGCGCTCCTTCAGCTTCTATCTCCGGCTGCTTCCGTCCCTCCCCACCCCATCCCCCCTTGCCACTGCTCCCTTGGCCGCTCATCAAAGCGTCTAAGTCCTGCGGCAGCATTAACACAGCGAAGCGCAAGGACCTCGCTGCCTCAGTCGGCGTCGCTGCCCGCCGCAGGACACTTTTTCACGCAGCGACGCTTTTTCGTACAGTCATCGTGCAGCGAAAGCGCTTCTCATCCGCAGCTCCTTCAACTTGGTTCCGCACTTAGTATATAAGCCGCTGTACATAAACAGATGGACACTGGGCGAAAATATTGGGTTGTAAGTTGGATTATTGTTAATAAGGCTTAGAAAAATCTCTTTTCACAAACCTCAAAATATTTTAACAGCTTTGCCTTATATTCATATAATAAATTCATTTCAGAAATATTGAGTAAACTAGGCAGATTGTTGTTAGTAAGGTTTAAAAAATCCCTTTTTACAAACCTATAAATAAATACAAATCTTTACTTTATCTTCATAGAATAAATTAATTCAGGAATACTTTTAAAACTTATGTGCCCAAAAAGCGAACCTATTAAATGTGCTTGTTCTTCTTATATTTTAATATTATATGCCCCAGAATATATATATATAATATATATCATATATATGCATATATTTCGTCTCTTTGTCTTCGACAAGTGCTTCTCGTGATTGACATTAATTTCCGAATTATATTTCATTTGAAATCTAAATGGACACTTAACCTCGACTTAAGACAAACGTTTTTTCCGAAATTAGGTTGCAAAAACAACGCAATCTTTAAAAAGCTTAACTTTTGACATTGTGTCTGAAAAATAAAAACCTTAATAAAAATCATGCATAAAAAATATATATATGATGTTTGAATTTAATAACCTTGAATACTTATCTTGTTTGGCTTTTCGGTATTTAGCTGTTTATTATAATTTTTGAGAACATGAATTGTTAAATTAAACAAATTTAATTCCTTGATTCAAGCATTCTAAAAATGTAAAGACTTAGACCCAATTTCTGGGCGCTATTTGACTGAATTTGTGATATTATTTAATGGTTCTAGTTTTTAGTGTTCAAATTAAAGACACTTGTGAGATTATAGAATACTAATATTCCCTAATGAAATGATTTTTTCCAAGTGTAGCCCTTGCCGACGGCCATTTGGTATGGCGCAACTAAAATGCAGTTGTTGTTGCTTTTTTCGCTTTTACCAGTATTTGTCTTCCACTGTTGTTGCTGTTGTTGTTGTTGCTTTTGCTGCCGCTGCTTTGGAATTGTTGGCGGTTCTTTGCCATCGCCATCGGCTATTTGAGGCAAGAAGTTGGCCCGCAGGCTCCGGCGGACAGCCAAAGCAGCTGACAGGACGCCAGACGATGACTTGACTCCGGCATTGACTTGAAGAGTTGACTGCCATTCCCTTACCGGCTTTAATTGCGTTTGAGCAATCCAAAAAATAGTGTATGAGTATATAGAATAAAGAATTCGAAAGTCAAAAAGTGAAATTGAATTATTATTCATTCAATTAGAAGGGGTGGTACTGGGGCGGCAGATTATTTAGATGCCTAGAAACGTACTTTGATTTGGATTTTGTTGTATGCAACTGTCAGTTGCATGCATTTCCAACCGAGTGCATTTGCACAGAGATACTCAAAGGGGGTTCATGGTTGGGGGGGTGGAAAAGCTTCGTTTGTTGCGCTCATTCATTCGAATGTTAATTAAATTGTATTTAAACTGTATCGACTTTTGACACATGCCTCGTCTGCGTTGTCTGCTCATTGAAGCGCCTAATTTGATCAGAGAAAAAGTCTCGTTTATGAAATGCATATCCTTTGACTGGGGTAAATCGGCATTAATATAACCTCCTTGATGAAGCTATCAATTTAATGCATATAGTATTTAAATAGTTGTCTTAAGAGTCTACGAAATAGGTCGATAATATAAAACCATCTAATTTAATCAGAGGAAGTCTTGTTTAATTAATATATTTTCTTGTATGCATATTAGCCGACGGGATAGGTTTTGATTTCAGCAGTACTCTTTTCAGGAAACAATTACTAATAAAAGAAACACGGCACACAAACATATTAAATTTAAAGAAATAAATACATAAAACATAAGAAGGCAAATAACTTAAAGCTAAATATAAACGAATTGTCCTGGAAATTCAAGAAAGTACGCTATATTTTTCTTCATCCTTTAGCCGCAGACAAACAAGATGGCAGACAGGAAACGTCATCAGCAATGCGGCATGAGTTCCGTTAAATTTTTTGAATGCACTTCCTGCTGCACGGGAAATTAAAAGGCTGCCTATGCGGCGTATGTGTAATATTGGGGCACACACTCGGAGACAATGCTCCGAATGGCACAACGACAGATAAGCGGGTGGCCCGTCGTAGTCGCTCCATAATCATAATAATAACAATGCCTGGCTCCAGTTCGGAGTCATTAAGGGTCGTTTTATGGCCATTGTGTGGGCCGCAACTCCTCCAATGGCTGCTATCCTGTCCGGTTCCGGCCAATTGGTATGCATATTTGGCTATTAAGTGCAACTAGACAGTGCGGGCGAAAGAGTTATCTTCAAGCCACTAAATTGCAGCCGATAAACGCGGCCAAAAGCAGGCAGGAATGGGGGGGGGGGTGTGCTTGGTGAGATGGCTACCCAAAACTTTTGGCTACCCGGCCATCGTATCAGCTGAAAGAAATTTTAATTAAATGTCGCCGCAAACGATGCGGTAATATGCAACGAGTCGAACGGAGTCGAGTAGAACCCATCGGTGTCGCAGGTATGGGGGCATTATTTTAGCGTTCAATATGATTGCAGCCTGGCGGGCCATTTGGCTCAATTTATCACAATGCCACAGCCGGCCAAGAGCCGGGCCGCTTGACCAGAAATCGGGAAATCAGGATTCAGAAATGAGTCTGAGTCCGCGCCTCATGCCGCTGTCAAGCGCCTCGACTGCACTTAATACCGTTTTCTGACTGCCGTGGATTGCATTTCATGTGTCAGCGTTTTTAAGCGCTTTTCCCCCCAGCGTTCTCAGTTGGAACTGGGTATTTGGATTTCGGTTTTCGGATTTCGGTTCTCGGGATGGGGTCCGTCCATTGACGGGTAATTTATAGAGTGAGAGCTGCGCCCCCATCGCGAACTGAGCTATTTAATAAGCAAACAATGCGGGAGTAATGCGAAAAGAAATGGAAAATCCTTTAGCCCTTGAACTGCCCTGGGTTATGCGATGGTTTGCCATGGGTGGCGAGGAGTTGTGGGTTGGCCGGTGTCGGAGGTCACATTTAATGGAAGGGGTGCGCTAGAGATCAACAGTGGGTACTGGCTATGTGCAATACAGATTATACGAACTAATCCAGATTTAATTTTGATTTATGAATTAATTTATTTTTAGCCCATTAAGTTACAAATAAATACATATTACTGTTAAGAATAAAAAAATTAAATGGTTTCTTTTCGCATTCATTTAATTTATTTCTGCACGATAACGATTTTTACGGGTATTTTAATTTCAGTTAAAAGATAGAAACGAACTTTCGCCCCTAAAAGATACATATGTATATATCATATAAACATTAATATAGTTTAATGCAGAAATTGACTCTCTGAAAATATTTAGGATTATAAAGGGAAAAACTGATATGTATTGTCAATTTTTATCTCAACTACTAAAGACCCCAAATTAGTAGTTTTATGATAGTTAGTCCGATAAAATAGTTGTAGGCGGATTTGTGCTTCAAATTTTTATAATATGTGTATTTTAAGAACTGGATTAATTTTTGTTTTATTGGCGATAGCTTCTGATATTTGTATTATATCCCACACTTAAAAAAAATTTTTTTATTATTTTTATAAATATAAACATTAAGATCTTGAGAACTAAAAGAGGATTTGAGATTTAACAAGCTTTATATTTCTAGCAAATTTTAGCTACACTAGTCTACATTTAGATCAATAAATTTGTAACCAGTCCCCCAAAATACATATATATGTCAAAAACATTTGAAACAAACACAAACTTTATTTCATAGGTTGCACATGAGGTTTTATTTTCTAATAATTAATGATGCGCTGGGTACTTAAATGTTTAAAATAATAAACAGCACGCAAAATCCACTCCGAAAAATCAGTTACATTCGTATAAAGTCCTAAGCCTGAACAGCTAGGAAGACCGTAGCTGATAATACCAATCTGGTAGATTAACTCCTTATTAGAGTTTTCATTCACTACTGTTGCGCTCAAAGGCCCACCAGAATCTCCCTCACAAGAGTCGATGCCGATATCGCCGGAACATATTTGTGACATATTGTCATCCGAAAAAAAACTGTTTACGCATATCGAACGGTTAAAAAGTTGAACGTTGGCCTCCTGTAGAATAGGTTGACGGACCCGTTTTGCATTTGTACCCCAGCCAGCAATAGAAAAGTTTGAAACGGCTCCTACTGGATATTTATAGAGGAGGCAGATCGGTATTATGTAGGCTGAGGATAAAATTGTTTTAGCTTGAAGGTTATTATTGTTTACCTTGTTTTTATTACCTGTAAATCTCACTTCAGTTTTCATGCGAAGCAGACCTATGTCATTCCTGAAATAACTATAATTGTTATTTAGTGGGTATCAGCAATTAGGTGTCTTAATTTATCAGGCAACAAATAATAATTTGTCAGAATCTCCTTGCGTTATCACTTCGTAACAGTCACAACATATTAATTTTATGAAACAAACTCATAATCTAATCTGATTAAGCCGAACGTTTACTTAACAAGCAGCACCGAAGAAATCAGTTCGTTTTACTACAATAAAAAAACAAACTATACCATTTACCAATTATTATACCCTTGAAGAGGGTGCTGTTTTTTTATACAAACAGCTTCTTATTTATTTTATTAGAATTTAAAAAATCCATCATATAGCTGTTACAGGAGCGTTTGAACATTTTCATTTTTGGTGTGGCACAACCAAGTTGGGCAAGAGCTCCTTAGGAAATCCGACTACTTCCATTAGGATGGTCAAGAACAGGTAAGCTTTACCTAATTGGAACTAAAACAAGTTTGTACTGCTATACTTACCTCGTTTTTAATCAAATCGGGCAACAATATCGTTGTTTCTATTGAGAATCTTCTACCGAGATCTACAAGTATGAGAGGACTTTTTGCTTTTGCTCGTAGAACGGCTGCTTTATTATCACTTTTTGAGCACCAGTCATAAATGATTATCATTTTTATGTTGTTTATTTTCACATTCTTTTTATACTCAAATATAAAAAAATACGCAATATATGTGTTTATATATATATATATATATATATATATATATATATAAACATTATATATTGTTATATTTATAAATATATTTGTACATTTTATAAGCAAACCTTTAAATTATCTTGTTGAGTAAAATCGTGTTAGGCTTAATGTATGTAAATTGAACACCCCAAATTGTAAGCGATGACGACTAAAACGTCTAGGTCTTACACTGATATTTATTTTCGAACTACGCCAGTTTTATCTTAACTACTAACGACCCCAAATTTTGTAGTTATATGATAACGAAAGAATATAGTCCGATATGTGCTTCAAATTGTTTAATTGTTACTTTAAGAACTAGATTAATTTTTGGTATCTCCCAAAGATTGTATTTTAGCCCCACACTTCAAAAAGTTTTTATTTTCTTTAAAAATATAAATATTAAAATCTCGGAAACTATAACAGCCAAAGACTTGGGATTTAACATATTAGCTAATTTTAGACACGCTAGTCGCCTATTCAGACCGATAAATTGTAACCACCACCTAAAAATACATATTATATATTATAAACATTTAAAAAAACACAAACTTTATTTCTTTCGGTTGCACATGGATATTTTTTTTACTAGTGATTAACTTAGCATTTTTGGACTTCTAAATCTGTATAATAATTAACTGCGTCCAAAATCCAGTCCTTATAATGAGTTATGTTAGTATACAGTCCTAAGCCTGAACAAGTTTTAAGACCTTGGCTGATAATACCAATCTGGTAGACTAAGACCTCTTTAGTGCTTTTAATCAATCCTCTGGCGCTCAAAGGCCCACCAGAATCTCCTGCACACGAGTCGATGCCAAAAGAGCCGGAACATATTTGTGACATATTATCCCCAAGTTCAAAACCTTCGCATAAAGAAATATTCAAATACGCTACTTTGGCCTCCTGTAGAATGGGTTGGGCGACCCCTGCTGCATTTGTACCCCAACCAGCAATTGAAAAGTATGAAATGGTTTCTTGTGGATATGTATCGAGAAGGCAGATCGGTATTATGTTGGCTGAGGAAAAACTTTTTAGTTTTGAGGTCCATATTGGTTATCCCGTTTTAATTACCTGTGAAGTTTACTTCAGTTTTCATGCGGAGCAGACCTATGTCATTCCTCTGGTAGTTGTAATCCTTGTGAACAATTTTCATATCGACATCTCTTTCAATAGCATTAGTATTTTTAGTATTAGTCAAATCATGCTCTCCCAACCGAACCTTCCTTCAAAGGGAAATGGTGAAATGTCTTTGAAATAAAAAGATTAACGTTCGTACATACATATACTCTTTAATGATGCAATGAGCCGCCGTTAGAACAAAACCTGCAAACAGATTAGGTACATATAAAAAATAAACTTATTGTCAAATTCCTATACATACGAGAGGTGATAAGCGTTCCGCTACAATTATGCTTATTCTCCAAGAACACCAAAGCCATCCATGGATGTGAGCCCTCTCTTGCGTTATTCCCGTTTTCGATCCGCGGACCCATGCCTGGGACTATTCCACAATTGTAATTAAACAATTTCGGCGATCCTTCTATGGACACAAGGAATAGGCAGGCTAGAGCCGCGATTCGCGCTATGACCACCACCTTCATGATGTTGAGAAGACTGAATAATCATCTTCCTAATCGCGGGACTTAAATATATTCGGAACAGAGATAATATTTTAATTGAAATTTTTATATTTTGTAATTATTTTGTTTTTGTTCAAGTTTTTGTTTTGTTGTTGTCGGAATTTAATTGTTTTTAATAAACGTATTTATTATTAAACCATAGCGATAATATTAATTTGCCATTGCCTGTCCTTGAACATAAATAAATTATTATTGTGTTTTTGGCCGAGTGTAGTAGGTTATCAGCAAGCAGGTCAGTCAAAGTGCAGCGTCAGCGAAGCACATATATCTTAATTTATCAGGCAATAAATAAGAATATATTAGAATCTTTTTATACTTTTGAAGAGGTTGATATTATTTCATTCATATATTTTCTTCCGCTTTTACGCAGACTAGCCTTAAAGCTTTGAAGCTATTTGAATAAAACTTACCCAAAAGGAGTCTTTTTATTTCCACAGAGGAACAATCGGAAAACAATTAAAAAAATAAAACTTCGTTTTTTTAAACATATAAGCTCCTTGTTTTTTTGTAGCATGCGCATATAACTCGAGATAAATACAATATTCAAGACTTAAAAATTAAATTTTCATTTTATTATAATCAAAAATATATATTATATAGCAGTCAGGAATGTTAAAAAATTTAATATAAATTTGACATTACTTCAATTTTTTAAAGCATATAAGCATAAAAATCAATATATGGTCTTTTCCAAGAATATTAAATTTTTGTTGTATATACTTAGCCTTTGCAATCCTCATTTTTTATTAATAATTTAATCTTTTAAACTTGAAAGCCAAACATAAATCTTTTTACGAGTAAAACACATATTTAATATATAACAAAAAATTATAAAGTTTGTCAAATTCCTCTAATAAATCCACGACAGTAATACCCGATTACTGTTTTAGAGATCAGTTTCCTGTGCCCCAACATCACCGTACTGGATATAGGATTCGCCTTATTAAGCCAGTTTAATATAATGTCAAACGTTTTACTTTCATTCACCTGGCAGATATCACTGTACCTTTTACACGTTGAGTTCAAAAATTCATCATTGTTGGCTTCTGCTGCATTGTTGCCAAAACCCGCTGCTGCTGCTGCTGCTGCTGCCGCTCCGCCCGCCCCCGGCCCCGTTCCCGTTCCCGCCCCCTTGCCCTGTTGCCTGTGCAGCCAGCTCCCCCACTTACCGCAAACCGAAACTGACTGATGCCTGCAAGCTACTTTTGGGATGAAATATTATAATTACAAGCGAATGTCCTGCGGCCAAGGAGGAGCAGGGGGGAATGGTGGGGGGGGGCTCCGGTTTCCAAGGGGGGTGGTGGTCGGGATGAAGCGACATCAGCCAAGCATCAGGGCAGTCCAAATCGTAACTCTCGTTCGTTCTTTCTCTCTCTCTCTTTTTGTCTCTGTTTCTCTGTTTCTGTCTCTGTCTCTGTTCCTGTACTTCGGTGGGTTCGGTGTTTTTGCCCTTGGGGCCTTCGGATTCCCAACCCCCCTCTCCCCTTCTCGTAATGCCCTTCTTCTTCCTCTTCTTCAGTCGCAACATGTTGGGACGTTGTGTTTATATGGTCGCCTGCCGGCAAAAGCTCGGTGCCTGATAATTTAGATGCCCAGGCTGTGATAAGCCTTGAAAACTGGTTTCAATGTTTCCAACATGTTCGATGCGGCAACAGTTAGGAGTGGGTGGCTGGGTGGTTGGGTGGCCGATTACGCCAAAAGTTGGGGGCTCACCCGTTATTAATTGCAACTCAATTGCTTGCAGGTATTTATTAAGTTTTTGTTTAATTTCTAAAACTCGCATTTGTATTTGTTTCATTTCATCTCCACTCATTTCATTTCAATTCAATTCATTTCATATTAATTTAGGCGCGTCACACACATACACATACGGCTGTCAGTTTTATTGAAAATAAGCCTGCAGTTAATTTAGCATGCCATTAAATTTCCACATACCCCTGTCTTTTTGAGCCCAAAAGTAATGCATGCAGATTATAACTTAAATATGAAATGTCACGCATTGACAGGCATTTTTGAAAAGTGTGCAGCAGCAAAAGCAACAGCAACAGCAAGTTTTACACCTTGGGGCCAATCCGTTTATGGACCGGAGTTGGGGGCTCCGAGCTGGAGAGATGGATATGGATACGGACTCTCGGATCAGCATCTCACGCCATGGGTAGCCACAAAAGGCAGACCACAACTGAAACAGGAATTTATGTGGCCTTTTGTATTTGCTCCAAGGCGAAAGTGTCCGAGGGGGGATCGAAATTGGGCTGGAGATGGGGATTGGGTTTGGGAGTGGGAATGGAAATGGGAATGGGAATGCGAATGGGACTTGGACTGGGACTGGAGATGGTTGTGTCTCTGATCCGGGGCCCAGAGATGACAAGGGTCACATGCCAGGTAAGGCCAGCTATGAAAGTGGGTACCACATAACCACATTTGTTTCAACTACCAAAGGCCTTAATAGTTCATCCGCTTATCAGTATGAATAGAACAATGATAGATTTAAGGCCAGTTTAACATGGTTATGTTTTCTGCAATCACAAAAATGTTCGTATTCTGAATTATACAAATTAGTTTACAACTAACAATCAGAAATATAGTTTGACTTGGAAAATAAAGCACTAATTAAAATGCTGAGTTCGATACTTCCGACCAAAAAATGTCAAAAGAACTTATAGCCATTGTTAAAAGTGGAGTTCTAAAGTAACATCATTTGCATTAGTTGCAAGTTACAGAGGACTTAAAAATGGATGAAAACATAAAACAAACATTAAATCCGTATGCTCGCAATTTACATTAAACACACAACGTTTAATATTTCACCGATTAAAACATAATAATTCATATGATGAAACTAACACAAAAAGGTCAAGTTCTTACATTACATATTTAAAGTACACATTTAGATATTTCAAAGAGCTAAGAAGTATCATATTTAAATAAAAATGTTTTTATTTGGAACTAAAATTATATTGTTAGCTTATAGATATTTCTTAATTTGAAAAACTAATCGCTATTTCCCTAACCGTTTCCTTATCCATTTAAAAAGTGAGCAAAGCAATTACCAACTATTTTCCACTCTTTGCGTGCTCCACCAATTGCTGGGAAACTGATTCAATTCCGCGGACTGGTCGCAGCTTCCGTTTAATTGTGGGCTTCCATGCATTTCGCACGCTTTTTTCACCCAACCCCCCCGGCCCTTTCACCTGTCCCCTTTGCCTAAATGCTCGATTGCAGTTTGTATGTGTGTGAGTGAGTGTGAGAGTGTGTGAGTGTGGGAGTGGGTGGTGGGAGGTGTAACAGATGTCTGTAAATTGCTTTACTGACTGACTGACTCGCCAGTTGGCTGTTGGCGGTCGCTTAACTGCTGATGTTGCTGCTGTTGCTCCTGTTTGGTTTGTTGTCAGTTAAAGTGTCGGTATGTATGTGTCTTGCTTGCAGGTGTTAGTGTGAGTGTGTGCGAGTGGGTGTGAGTATTTCACTTATAACTGCATTAATACAAGCTTATGCTTCACGAAATCGGGCCACCTATTAGTTGTTGCTGCTGTTAATGATGATGTTGCTGCTGTAACTGCCGATATAGCTGTTGTTGCTGTTGCCGCTGCTGCTGCTGCTGCTGCTGCGACTGTTGTTGTTGGCACAACATTGCACATACAACCGCGCAACGGTATTGCTTACAGGTGTGCGGCATTCGCTGCTTGTCAGTGTCCGCGTTTAACGCTACACTTAAACAAACAGCCGCGTGCGTACACAAACATCACATACACACACACTCACACACGTATGTATATGTGTACGAACACTCCACACACACACTCACGCACACCCATACACACACACCTGCGAGCAGGATGCGGAAGAAACAACAACAACAGCAACAACAACATGAGCAGGATGGCCAGGATGTGGCCGCCTATTAAGTGATTTTAACACTTTGCGCATGAAAATTGCAAAAAGGCAACGGCGCGGCGTTGATAATTATCCCTTAATTGCTTAATGAGCGGCACTTGAGCAGCGCCGTCGACAGTAGCGGCGTAAGTTTAATTAATGCCAATTTAATTACCACACCACACCACACACACACTCACACTTGCCGCAAAGGATTTCCACACACATTCAAAGTGAATTAAGTGGCTTGGCCCAGACATAAATAGCAGTTAACTTCAGTTAACTTTAGCTTGATTGATCGGTGAACTTTTATTGGTTAGTTCATTGATGAGTCTTCATTGTTCTCTTATTGGTGATGAATTGCCTTTGGAGAATTATTGTTGTTAATTTGTTTGCAAATTTTTAAAAGTTTGCTTACTAATCTTTACTTTTTATTGTAAGTAATTCCAGTCATCAGTTAAAGTCTTATTTTAAAACTTATTTGTATTGGTATTCATTGAAGACTTTTTAAGTTTTATTTAAAAACTTGTTTTACATTAATTGGGGATTTTTTAGGTTTATTTTCAAACTTTTATTGGAGACTTTTTAGCAAAGTATTCTTTACAAAGTATTATTTTATTAATTCATACCTCTATTAATGTTAATTTGTTTATTTAGCTTTCGGGCAATATATTAATCAGTGAATTAATCCTTCAGTGCTCATTGCCAAATTATTATTGTTAGACTTTCTGGGGAAGTGACATTAATGACATTGTATAAATTTCAAAATTATATTTTATTAATTCAATCTAGAAACATATATTAATACTTATTTGTCGGGTAATAAATAAATCAGTGTAGTAATCTTTTAATTAACATTTCCTGGGGAAGTGACATTAATGACATTCTTCCCGTACTTTATTTCATAAACGAATTGGAAATGTAGTTATAAATTTCTTACATTTTTAGACTATATAAATTTCTCCATTTCTCTGCGGGCTTTAAGCCTTTGGTTAAAGCAAAACAATTAAAGAACATTAAAAATTACCATTTACGATCTCTAATTGCTTCCCACATGTCTTGTTTATCTAACCCCAGTGAGCACTGGTCCACAGTTTCAGCCTTAGCTTTAGCCGACTAGTTTCTGGCTCTATTGGCCGAATGTCTCTATTAGCCGGGGCCATAAGTTATTTGGTTGTTTGGCTTGATTAATGTTCACCTGGCCGTGTTCCGAGGAAAACTTAAACACGCCAGCGAGGGGGAGATACGGGGTGCAGTTGAATGGAGGTCCAACCATTCGGACCTCGCTTTGTGGATTGTCAGTGGCAGCTTCATTTACGCTTTACCCTTTTCCATTGCCGGATGGCCAGCGGCGGTCTCTGCTTCCAGTGATCTAATCTTGTTATTGCCCTGGCCTCCGTCTCCAGTTTCTGTTCCAGCATACCCATAAAGATACACAGCACATATATAAGAGTGATTTAGCTTTAGCTGATGTGCCAATTCAATTATTTCTACCTACATAAGATTTTTCCACATGGCACCGGCAAAACATATAAACACCGATAAATGCCATACATACAAGCCATGTGGCATATAAAATAGTGAATGTAATTTTATTCACATGTCTGGCCGCAGGCCAATCCGCTTGGCCCGCCGGCACCAAATTGCACAGCAACAGCAACAACAGCAGCAACATCAGCAACCCCGGAACAACGGCGCACCTCTCCGTATCTCGGGTATCGGTCTTTCTTCGGTATATATATGCCACATTATATTCAGGGGGCAGGGGAGCGGTCCACAGAGCTGAAATCCATCATTGGCGCATGGCCGCGGGTCACATTTGGGTTGAAATATTATAATTACAAGCGAACGCCCGCGGGCAAGGCAAGGAGGAAGGTGAAACGACGCTGGAGCTGTAGCGTCGAACATTGGCATCGCATCGCGAGCTTAGCCTGGCTAACAACTACACGGGAAAAAATCAGAATGACATTTTAAGAGATTTTAATATATGAAATGGCATGGGTTAAGTTAATATGGCATTATAGGCTAAGGAAAAGAGTATCGGCCTTCGAGTTCAAGACCTACCACTGCTTAATGAATTTTTTATTTATGTTCAGTTAACCAGATATAAGTTTGATACATTCAATTTAAATTTAAAACATTTGAATAGTAATATTTATCTATTGAATTTATTTAATTGAAACTTATGTCTTACATCGAGAAACAAATCATCATGTCTTTCATATTTTCTTTCAGTGCATGGAGGGGTTAGAGGGAAAGGGGAAGGGGGTCGGCTGGACGGACGATCGAAGTCGCCGCTCTGCTGCGGATATGGATACTTAGTTGTGGTGGTTGTGTTTACGTTGCGGCTGATAACATCCCGTGTTGCTGCTGCGCCAGATGTTGCTGCTGTCGCCCATGGCCCGCGGCAATGCAACACGTTGCACGCAACATGCTCGACGGCACCGGGCTTAGACCCCAGCAGACTCCAAAACAGTCTTTTCTCAGTGGCGGTTCAGTGTGTTTGTGCTGTTGGTGTTTGCCTTGGCCATTGACAAACGGTACGGTAGCAGGTGAATAACAGTAACAGTTGGCCATTGCTATTGCCACTTTTTTGCGTTTGTTTTTGCCCTGGTAACTTGTTGCACGGCACGTGTTTGGACAACTGCCGGGTCACATTAGTGGGGGCGGGGCAGGGGGCGTGGGCGGGGTGACCAGCTGCAACAAAAGGATAACAAAAGAGTGGCATATAATTTAAGAACAACAGCCGGCACTCGGCTTCCTATAATTACCAACTGGCCACAGAATCACAGTTTTTTTGTCGCAAAAAATACGTTCGACCGGGGCAGGTGACAAGCGGCATCTGGGTGGGTCCCAAAAATGGGGGGCCTGGGACCCTCATTATATGCAAAACGCACAGGGCCGCCAGCCACTCAAACTTAACTTATTTTTAACTTGCACATTTTTGCCCAGTTTCTGCCTGTGCCTCTGCAGCGCCTCGGGCCATCTTAGTTGCATGTTCGAGCAATCCTTTCCGTTCTTGCTCGTTCCACCCCAAAAAGCTGGAAATAAAGAAGTGGTACTGGTAGTGGTAGTGGTAGTGGAACTGGTACTGGTACTGGTCCTCTCCCATTCATAACTCGCGGCTATATCTTCTTTTGCGTTATATTTCCCTCATTCTGCTTGTCTTTGGATATCAACTGTCAGTTTTCGAGCTAAAAACGCCAGCGGGCTAGTTTGTAAATCATTAAAATTATGCACACACACACGCCTCACATCCGCACACAATTATTGTTGTGTAAGTGTGTGTGTGTGCTCGGTCGGAGAAGTTGGCCAAACTGCATAGGAATCATTATGCAGTTAATGACAAATGTCACGCATTGCTAATGACAAAAGGAAGTCGGTAATCGACTCCTGAACCCATCCCTCACCTTCCCTTCCCCAATAAGTGCCCACAATTAAAATGCATATATCAAATATCAAATTGTTGCAAATGAGGGTCAAGCTTTCACAAAGCTCAACAATTGGAAAGTGGGTAGGCTATTTACCTTTAAGAAATAAGCATTTGATAAAATCATGAAATACAATTTTATAAATAAAATAAGCGTAGACAATATTTCAATGCACCCAACTTTAAAATAATAATAATGTATTTTGTATTTAGTTTTTCCTAAAGCATTCAAATAAATTCAATTACATTAATGTTATTAATTGCTAAACTTGTGTTGATTAATTTATTATGTTTTTTTCTTAATTCAAAAAACCCTTTATTATAAATATAATTTTTTTTATCTCAATATTGTAAATATTTAAAACAATTTAATAAAAAATATTAATGTATATCAATGTATGTATAATATATGTACATATTGATTGAAATTAAGCCAAATCATTTGAATTAGATTTTATTTTGAATTTGCTTTTTAAGCTTTCAGGGCACTTTGTTAAGTTGATCGATACATGGATAAATTAATTAATAAAATTTCACTTTTATAGCTTATACTTTATTAGGTCGAACCCTTATAAGTCAAACTAGTTTTATTGGCCATGAAAAGCCTAAATTCAGGTTAGAGGAATTCTATAACACGAAGTCAACCCTATTTCATTGGCAGATGGTGGGTTTCAGTTTTCGAAGTTGACTGTTTATTACTTATATTAACTATATGATAATTTGAAGAGCGATGCGGGCATTTCCTACATATCCCATTAATAAAATTGAGTTAACCAAGCAGAGAACTTTAAAAAACGCTATGCAAACACTTCATTATGGAACGCATTGGCTGTAAAATGATTACCATTCAAATGTTAATGTAAATGTTGTGCCACATATGGATGAATGGCTGGATGGATGGATGGATGGATGAATGCCCGAATTGATATGGTTGATATGTGGTCGCGTTTGCAGTCACTGCCGCTGCAGTTCGGTCGTGCGTTAAAAATTTAACGCGAATTTCAGGCTGCGGCGGCAAAAATGGCATCATTAAGTAAAAGCCCTACGGCCAGACATTGTGAATTTTATGAGCCTTTTCACATATACAAATATATGTATGTGCATGTGTATGTGGGCATGTTTTTGTTGTTTGCTCGCTGGGTATCGTTAATAATAAAAAATACGTATACCTATCTACATATATTTTAAAGCACACACACACACACACACACACACGCTTGTGCAGCCTTGTGATGAGCCGTGCACACATAAATAATAGTAATAATAAAAAATCACAATAATGATGATGCTGATGGTGTCGGCTTGCGGGGAGCAACAAAAAATCTGCGGAAATTCTCAGCATATGCGTTGGCATTTAAAGGTTTGTGTTTTCCCATTCAGTATGCAGCATTCACCATTCAGCATTCAGCATCATATTGATTGACAAGCAAATGCACAAGCCTTGAATAAATATGCAGGCGAGTGGGCGGTCAGTGCGCTAAAGGGGCGTGCCGCTTGGGCTACTTTAAAAAGCCATCAACAAATAATTACAAACGGGCGGAGGAAGTGTATTAATGTCGACCGTCGACGCTGATTTCTGAACCGATCCGAGTATTTGGTTTTTTTATATATATATATATATATATATGTAGCATATATATGAGTCCTGCAGCGGAAACCCCTCCGCCTCCTCCTACTCCTCCTTCTCCACCACCACCCCCCCGCTCTCGCCCTGCAGCGATCCAAACAATAAAGCATAAAGCGCGCCGCACACATTTTGTCGAATTATTTTGTTGGCAGTCCGCTGGCGGCTAACTGCAGCAAATTGGCTTGAAATATTGGTATTGCCATATGTATGAGTTCGTATATGAGTGACTGAATACATACGACTCAGCCCGTCTGTGTGCGTGAGCTTGTGATTAAAAAAATATTTAAAATGGCAAAAACGCAAAGCGACGTCAAAATAAAGGAGCCCCCCTACCGCCCATCCCCCTTGGCCCGCTTGAAACAATAAAAGTACCACCCACTTCTACCCAATCCAACTGAGTGAGTGAAATGAGCGATAAAATTGCAACAATTTCCACTCGTCGTAGGCAGAGGCTCCGATAAAAGATGAAAAATTGAAATGTCAGTGCTCGCAAACTTCAAATATAATTTGACCTGTTTTATGGACCATTTTAATGATTTTAAAAAGTGATACTCTTAACAATAACATGGAAGTGTGATTAAAACAAAATCTTTTCTTTAGGACAAAAATTTAAAAATGTGTAATGTAACTATTAAACGTCTTAAAAGAAGCAGATTTAAACAAAGAATTACTCTTGCTATTTCATAAAAAACGACATAATAAATGTTCTAACGATTAGCACTATGCCATTTAGTACATAAATGTTTTTAATTTTTGTACTTACTTAATGGTGAGATTTCCCATCGTGTCACGAGACCAACTCAAAGCCATATCGCATTTTCTGCAGCGGGAAAATATAGCGAAATATTATTGTGGCGCATATACTTCAAAATGAATATGGCCGTGGGACAAATAAGCGAGCATTCCGAAACAATTGCCAATGAAAAATGATGCGACACAACTCTCGGCAGGGGGATGATGGTGTTTTGGCCACCCCCTTCGGGCGTTTTTGCCAGCGAGGGGGTGGAAAGTTCGCACTCATTTTAATTACAGCTGCCTAACTGCAGGCCTCACTGTACTTCCCATTCCAGCTCGTGTTTTGAAACACGGCCTGGGGCGTATTTATCACAAGTTTTTCTTTGCATCGCCGCGGGGCAACAAAATATTTCAGCTGCCTCCGTCGCATTCGCTCGTCGAATGCCCGCGGGCCATCCAGCTCGGCTCAGCGCCCCATTGCCCCGTTCTTAGTACCGCCGACGGTGGTGCTTCTTCAAAGTCTCTGGAGCCGGAGCCGGAGCCAGAGCAGAGCCGTAGTCTGATGCCGCACAAAGTTTCATTTCGTTTGGCCCGCGGGCCCAGCGTTCTATGCTTTGTCATTAACACAAACACGCACACTCGCACAAACACATAGAACGACTGCCGGGTGTCAGTTGTACATGCAATACACCCATACACCCGTACACCTATACACCCACACACACAACCGTACACATGTCCTGGGGCAACAAAAACAAACAGGCTTTGATATTTACAATTATAGAAAATCGGGCATATAGAGATGTCCCCCATGATTAATGCAACTAATGGGTTAAAATTTTGTGTACACTTAACAAAGTAAATGTAGATCGAAATTAACGTTTGGTCAAGGCTTCGAAAAGACTATTTAGAATAATTTTTCTCATGAAACGCATAATATTGTATTTCTTTTTTTATTCATTACAAGTCAAGATACAAGTAAAAACGACTACAAAATAATTAAACTTTTAAAGTAGAAAGCAAGAACTTAAATATTTATAAAATTTGGGAGTCAAAGCAACCCATCTCTTGGCCAAAGAAAGTGCTTACAAAAAAAACTTGTACCTTTGAACACTAAAAAATGATGTTAGGAAACATTTTACATTTTAATTGTACAACTTGACATTTAAATAATGGTTATTTTAACGTTTGTAATAATAATTCAGAAAATATATTTCAATCAAGCCCACTTATAAAAATATTTGGAAGGTTAAACGCATTCAAGCTAAAATCCAATAGATAGAAATAAACATTTTGAAAGTGTGTGTATTCTTTCAATAAAACCCATTTGTATTACGTAAAGATCTATTGTAAAGATGATTCCCAGTGAAAGACAATATTTTCCAAGTGCAGCAACTCTAATTAAATGCATCGATTTGAAAGGCAAGCGAAAGCATTTCACCCAAGCCAATTGTTCTATTTACAGTTACAATGTTAATTGCGGCAGCTTAGTTGCAGGCCACCACAAAACAAGAACAACGAACGGAAGAACAGGCCACTTAAACCGGAAATAGACCATTAAACGTCCACACACTCACACACAACGAACACACACACAAAGGCATCATATGGTGCGAAAGCCAAGCAGCTAAACAACAAACGTGGCTCTCTTTCTCTCTGCTGCTACTGCTGCTGCGGCTGCTACTGCTGCTCTCTCTCAAGGTCGTCGGCTCAACACAGAAGACGCCAGCAACGAACTCAACTCCACCCGCAACACGCCGCAACTCGAGCCGCAACACGCAACAAGCAACTGCGACGGCGACGCAACACACAGCCATTAGCCCTCCAATCGCCAGCGAGCAGAATCAGTTTTCGGCCAGTATTCAACGCGAATGCAAGTGAGGTAAATTGCGAGCGCTTAAAAGTAGGCAACACTTACGGCAAGCGGAAACGGAAGTAAACACTCGTTGGCGCGCACACTTAGTTGAAATTCAAACGCCTCACAACCGAAACAATCTAGCGATCAGATCGACAAGATCTAAGCAGGCTAATTATATCGAAGAGCATCGAAGATCTGATAAAACGAAGATTATTTATCTACGCGCGCGTTGTAATAAAAAAGAGTTAAAGTGCATTTCCTAAATATACCAACCTTTTTGTGAGTTTCTTAATATTGAAGTCGCAAAATACTTGTTTTTATATTTCTAAACATTTCTGTTATCAAAAAACTTTCAATAGCCGTTTTGATTATTGACATTTCTTAACAAGTTCCTAAGAATGGCTTATTATTATTATTATACTTTGAAATTGAAATATATCAAAAACATTATAATCTTAAAATATATCTTTAGTTTCATACCTTTCTGGTATAGTCTCAAGTGTAATATTTATTTGTAGCTATCATATCAAACAGAAAACTACGATTGAAAATTTTATGTTTTTTGTTTACATATTGAAGGTTTAATGAAGTTAGAAAAGTTTGATCGGAGTTCTAAAATTTTTATTTTCTACATTCTTACAAACCCACATTTTAGCACTCTTTACCTTAATTACTCAACACATAAAATCCAATCGTTAAATATTTAACTAATGATTACTTCCTGTGGTTTTCTCGCCCCAAAAACAGAACTCCGTTTGTTGCATTGGATCAACGATCACCGTTGACGGTGGATTCCTCCTGCCCCAAACGGTAAGCGAAATCCGAAAACTTTTTATTTGCAAAATGCCCCAAAATCCCAGCCAGCCTTCGAGCTGGCCAATAAATTAGTTTAAAAAAAGATTCTGTAATAAACGAATTTTTGACACACAACAGCATCGACGGTCCAAGTTGCAGGCCACCCGATCTCTCTCTCCCTTTGGTTTTGGCCAAAAGCGCCACATGCCAAGTCAGAAATTGTGCGCCATAAACGAAGACTGTTTAAAAAAAAAAAAAAATTATGCGCCTCAAGTGCTCTGTACCCGCACCAAAGGAGAAATAAACAAAAGTAAGAAGAGTAACCGAGGGCGGCGGGGAGAGGTGAGGGAAGCGGGCAACGGCGACGGGGAGAAAAAAATCATACAAAATTCGCCGGCGGCATTTTTGGGCAACCTTAGCCCCCGGCTGAGTTATGTGTGCAGACGAGAACGAGTCGCATTATTTTTTCTACCTTAAAGGCTATAAAATACGATGGTGCTGGACGGGGGTCGTGGGTCGAAGGAGGGGGCATGACCGGTTGTATTGTGGCTGGTCGAAAACTAAGCGGCCAAAAGATGACCCCCGGGCCAAATACATACAGCACACTCATACAACAAATTTTTGTTTAGCCAGCGAATCGACGGTCCGTGAGAGTCGTCCGTCCGTCTGTCCGCTTGTCCGTTTTGTCCGCCAGTTTGTCCGTTGAGTCGGAGCCAAGTCATGAGGCAAAGTTCAAAGCGAGAGCTGCAGTGTGCAAAATTGTATTCAAATAGGGAGACACGGGAAAAAATATTGAAGTCTTTTATAATCGAAAGAGGAAAATGCTTCAGGAACAATCTTCAGTGATATATTTTTGACAAGGATATACAGGATATAGAATTTATATGAGATATAAATTTTAACATGCTCTTTATTTAAAATGGTATATTTTTATAAGCTTACACTTTTGAAACCATTTTAAAGTGTTTCCTAATCTTCAGAGATTGTTGCGACTTTACCGGGTTTTTAAATATTTAATTTTAAATAGAAATTCGTAGTTTGATATTAGTTCAGGAAAAATACTTCAATGATATATTTTTGATAAAAGAAGGATGTACAAATATATAGGATATATGTCTTTATGTCTAAAAAAATCAATTTGACAGTCTCTTTATTTAAAATAGTATATTTTAATTATATAAGCTTTTGAAAACATTTTAAAGTGATTCCTAATCTTCGGATATTGCTGTGACTTTACCGGGTTTTTAAATATTTAATTTTAAATAGAAATCCATAGTTTGATATTAATTCATGAAAAATCTTTCAGTGATATATTTTTGATAAAAGCAGGATGTACAAATATATAGGATACATGTCTTTATGTCTAAAATGAACAACTTTATCAGGCTCTTTATTTAAAGTAGTACATTTTTATTAAAGTGATTAGTAATCTTCAGAGATTGCTGTGACACTTTTGTTTTTTTAAATATTAAACTTCAAATACAATTCCTTAGTTATATAATATCCTATTTGTTTCTGTGCATCAGAAAGGAGGAGCAAGGCGCTGGCGACCTTCGCCTGTTGCCCTCCCATTCTATACAGCCCTCTCTTTCGTAAGGAAGCAACTGGTTTTGGGTTTTTGGTTTTATGTTCTGCTGTTTCTCCCGGTTTTTTTTTTGTAGACAAGCCAGACATAAGAGTTTTCCTGCAGGAGGCAGGGGCGGAGTCGAAGTCAAAGTCTTGTTTGTTTGTCTGAAGCCACTGCTCGCGATTCTTTCCGCGCATTGTCAGGATCTCACAGTGTTCGTACTCCCTGCTAATTTGTTTTCATTCAGCGGATTCAAGCTCCAGCTACTTGAATTCGCATTTACATTAACGGCCTATACCTGGTACTTTTTGGGAACCAGCGGCAAAGTGATTTCCATTACGTGCCAATAGTCAAAGCCTTCAGTTGCTGCATTTGAATGGCGTTGCATTCGGGGCTGAGACGACTGTGGCACAAAAGCTCTTAACGCGCTGTGTGTTAATTAAGCTGCAATTCGGCATCATTACCAGCATCAACATTGCGCTGCCAATTTGCCACCAACCGAATGGCTGTGCAGTTGCCAATTTCCGCAAGGGGTACGACTTTTGGCTATCGCGTAGCTTTTAGTTACTCATTTAGTGAATTGAGCAGGGTATAATGATTAAGCCTGGTTAGCACTTGTGTTATTCAAAAAGTAAGCAAAGCTGTTATTGAGATAATTATAACAATTAACAAGTGATTTTATAACATGTTAAGTATTTGACACAAGCAAATCTTAATTGCAGAAAAAAAACTTATGATTTATTCTAAAAACAATTTAACTTTTTTATCTGCAGCATCTTACAACTTACAAATTTTAAAAACAATTTAACCTTTACTAATTAACAAGAATTTAAAATTTTGTTGAAAAATAATAAGATAAATATATTTTCATCATTTTGTTGCATTACTGTCTAAATTTGCTTGTTCTTACTTATTAAACATAAAAAAAATCCATTCCAAAGTATCACTACTTTCAGAACTAAGATCTCAGATATTAAAAAAAATGTATTCCGTATTTCCCAGTTAAAAAGAAGCTGGATACTTTTATTACTCACACAGCCATTCCTAATCCCCTACCCATACGAATTGTTTACATTTCGTTGATACCCAGGATTACCCATTCCAAAACTCGATTCCTTGGTCAACAGCACCTGCCTCTGTTGCAAGTGCATTCCACTACAGTTGCCTTTGTGTTGCATCTGTTGTTGATGCTGTTTCTGGCTGCGAAATGCACACGCAAATTGCACCAATTAGGCAGGGCGCATTGTCTGCCACTGCCAGTTGCAGTTGGCGGATCCAGTTGCACTCGCAGGACTCCAGCTGAATGGGTTTTGTGGTGGGCCTGGTTTTCTGACTTCCGTTTCCCTTTTGGATAGCGAATCGCATTCCATTGTTTGAGCACTGTTCGAGTGGAAACATGAAAACATGGCTGGTAATTATTATGTACACTTGATTAAGTAGCGATGGCAATCAAACTACCCGACTGAAACCCCTTTGGAGCTATCAACTTGCTCACAACGTGCAAACAACGCTGCGTATGCGCAATGTTTTCTTTTGCGGCAATATTCCGACGTTTTGCCGCTTATCCTTTGCGCTTTTGACTTTCAATTCAATTTTCGAATTTAGCAGAATAAAAACATCCTATCTTTAGGTAGAGCACACACACACATGTGGATTTATCCGGAATATATTTATATTTTGCTTGTCGTCATCGTCGTTGCTGCTGTTGTTTCAGTTTTTTTCCATGTGGAGGTCGGAGGTCGGAGATTGGAGGTCGGCGAGTTGTGAGTTGGCTGAGTAATGTTTGCTCTGCATACGTAGCTCCAAACCCCCTCTATCCCTACCCCTTCCCCCCTCCACAACAGTTCACCCGCTTTTTGCTGAGTAAGCCATATGCAGCGCAATCGTCGTTTTTATTTAATATTTTCTAATAAATTTTTCAAAGTTTATTTTTGAAAGCCTTGCAGCGTTTTAATATCTGCTGCTTCAGTATATGCCGGGACTCCAGTTACTCGCTCACTCACTCAACTTCTGCCAGACTTCCCTGCCCACATACACGCCATACTATACCATATATATTCATATATATATATATATCGCATATATTTGTACAATTTGCCATGGCGCACACATTCTGCAACTTTGGCTAACAATTTTCGTAGCATCACAGAGGGAATGGGAGGGGGAAAGGGGCAAGGGGCAAGGGAACGTGGTCTGATTTCCCATATGCCGCAGCTCCAGCTCCGCCATTTGGACCCTTTGGCTAAAGACGACGTCGACGCAAAAGTTGAGTTCGGGCACTGCATCCCGAGATCCGAGATCCGAGTACCAAGAGGGAATGGGAATGGGAATAGGAACGGCAAAGGAGCCAATGCCAACGCCATATGGCCGGAGTTTGGGGTCTCCTGGCTTTGGCTTTTTGTGTTTTACTTGGGCCCTCCAACTGCCCGGCAAAAGTTTTTCATTTGCCTGCTCATCAGCGTTTTGATTTTGGTTTTTGGCCAACTGCGAAACGAAAACAAGCCAAGTGAAGCCACACCGACCGACCCTTCCGAGAATCGCCCAAGGCATTGGATTCTACTCAACTTGTCCCCAGGACATTTTGCAGATTTTTCCTCTCTCTTTTCTCATGTGTGTGTGTGTGTGTGTGTTTACTTTATGTTTGTCTTGGCTAGATACACAAACGTTCCGCATTCCCTTATCTGCAGCTCCCGGGAGTCGTAAGTTTGCTTTCTTTTTGCAACCCCGAACCGAATATAAGTCTTGCCTAATTGGAATCCTCCGCCCCCTCCTCTCCCCCCCTCGCCCATCAAACATAATCTGCCGCCTGGTGCTGCAAGTGTTGCAGTTTGATAAATCTTCGGGACTCCCAATGTTTTCGTATTAACTTTCGAGGTGGATCCAGTGCAGCCGACGTCGCTTTCGCCGCGGGCGTTTTAAAATTGAGATAAGATTTTGCCTCAAAAACTTTCGTTTTGCTTTTTATTTTTCCCATTTTTATACTGCGTTTTTTTGTATTTTCTTTTTTTTTGTATTTTGTTTTTTGTCTTCTGTTTTATTCTCTCCTGTTGTTTTGCGAGCTGCTGCCTGGGGAGCATTGAGGCCATGAGACGGAGACCAACTTAGGTATGATATCTTTAAATGCAGGCAGCACACACATGGGTATAAGCCAAAGCCAGAACGGACACGACTAGACTTACCTACCAATCGCAAAAGTTTGTGCCTGCAGCCACAGCAGGCAGGCAGGCAGTCAGCCCACCCAATCCTTACCCTTATCGAAATCGGAGCCGGAGTCGGAGAAGGAGTGGGAGTGGGAGTAGGAGTTGGGTTTTGGTCCGGAACGGAACTGAACGGATCGGATCGGGAGGAGGTGTATCCTTGCCGTTGTGGTTACTGGCTATGTTCCTGCTCCATTGTTGTTGTTGTTGCCCCTGCTGATGTTGCTGCTCTCATTGCCCTCAGCACTCTG